CGATGTCGGGCATTTGTCGGCGATTTCGCAAAACCTGTCGGCGAGTGAAAAATCAGGCTAAAATCGTGCAGTGTGAACTCGGCATTATTTGCATCTGCCACATGACAAACTAACTAAACATATTTAAACATACTAAATGTATCTTTGGCTGCAATGTAATGATTTCCTAATTCGGAATATTAGAATGATTGACTAATAAAAATAACAATTTAATTCCGCTCAAACAAGCTAAAATTTGTGGAAAAGACAGATCTTCCCATTTTGCGGACGGGTGAAATTACACATTACAGCTCGTATAAAGATTTATAACATTTTATACATTTTAAAAGGTTTTTAACATTATTTTATATTCATATTTTACGTTTTTTTTTTTTTTTTTACCAAACCTGTTTGTGATGGATTATGACAAAAATAAATAAATAAAAATAAATAAATAAATAAATAAAACTTTACCACAATGGGTAACAGGGTTGTGAATTAAGTATTAATGACAAAATATTTTCAACAGATGGTCATTGATAGGTGTTTAACTTTATTTTCTATTCATTTGTGCAGTGCTTTTATTTTGTGACGCATTTACCAAAATATGGGCCATAAATTCACCCTGCGTTCCATTCGGAAGGGCTCATCCCTATGCCCTAATCCCTTCAAAGGGTCTACCCTCCGGAGTGAGAGCTTCGAAGGGTGTAGGGGACCAAACAACTGTTCGTTGAAGTGCCCTTCTGCGTCAGCATCACGTGCCCACACGGAGGCGCCGTCCAGTGTTGCCAATTTAGCAATTTTGTTGCTAAATTTAGCAACTTTTCAGACTACCCTAGCAACTTTTTCTTCCAAAAGCACCTAGCAACAAATTTAGCTATTTTAAAAAATGTATTTGGCAGCTTTTAGCAACTTTTGATAAGTGACTCAAACGATAAAAAGGCACAATTTACCATTTAAATTACACAAAAAAAGAGAAACCCAAAGATGCCTAGCAGTACACACGTTACAGGAATTAAGTTAGCTGCTATTTGCAATAGTTTAATAGTAATAATAATAATAATTGAATACTGTTATTTTTCATTTATGAGACACTTTGTTAGTAGCTTGTACCTGCGATTGTTGATGAGTTACACTGTTTCTTACAGTACACTGTAAGAAAAATATGCAGAAAAATGGAAAAGGTGCTAGTAATTTTCCAGGACATTATCCGTTATCCGTTGTAACCCGAAAACACAAAATACAATGCGTAATTAAAAATGCAGGTACAAAAACCTGTGGAAAAATCAATCCAGAAAATTCCTTCATATTAACACAGTAGATTGTGCATTATTTTTTTACTTTTCTTAAAGTGCAGCATACTAACTAACTATTAATAAACCGCTTTAAAGTATAAAACTTAAATTGTAATCGTTCAAAAATTTGTACGTTTTCGATAATTCAGTGGATTTAAAAATAGTTATTTATATTTTAATATTATATTATGCATTTATATTGCTACGAACAAATCTAAATTAACATATATAAAATATATGTTTTTGCTGAGATTTGACACAATTTTGTATCGTGATTACGTAATGACGTCATCACGTAATGTCATCACAACATCATTTAGCAACTTTTAGCAACAAATCAACCTTCCTTTAGCAACTTCCCCTGAAAATTAGTTGGCAACACTGGCGCCGTCATCATGCAAAGAATCTGCGCAAATGATCATGGGAGCCCGAAGTGTCCATCAGTTGTACCCTTCAAAATCCTTCATTCTGAAGGGCTCTTTGAAGTGGCCAGTTTTGAGCACTTCGGTTTGGAACGACGCTTCAATATGGCGGCCATGATTGTTTTCACTCTGAAGTGCACTTCGGAGGGCGATATATCCCGTTTGGAATGCACTGACAGTCTATTGCTGCGTTCACGCCATATCATATGCTGAATTCACGCCATGTCATAATTACCGTAATTTCGAGATGACACATGACGTTCAACTCGGTGCTGTTCACGTCCTCGAACTGCGACAAAATGAACCCGTGACCGCTTGAAAGTTACTGGCAGCTGTAAAACACATAACTTTACATTTGTATGCTACAACTAAATATTGCAGAACACAGAAAGCGTGTCAGGTAAAAATAATTACTAACCATTTGTTTGTTTGTTTGTTGTTTATTATTAATGACGGCGATAATAAATGTGTTATTGCTAACCTAATCAAACTACAACAAAATAATAACAGTATGAACACTTACATAATATGTTTTTATATTATAGTACATCTATATAAGTATCTATTTCCTCATTTCTCATGAGGTGCAGCGGTCACGTGGTACAAGCCGTAGCTCTCAGAAAACTCCCAGTTTACAAGTTGTAATTATGAGTTCTACGAGGACGTGAGCGCTTTTAACAAGTTGGAATCTTGTAATTACGGGAATTACGATATGGCGTGAACGCACCTATAATTACCGTAATTTCGAGGTGACAGCACGTGACGTTCTACTCGGAGCTGTTCACGTCCTTGGACTCGGAATTATGCTTTTCTATGGCAACACTCTCAACACCTAAACAGAGCCTGCGGTGGTCAGGTGGTACAGCGGTCACGTGGTACAAGTCGTAGCTCTCAGAAAACTCCCAGTTCACAAGTTGTAATTACGAGTTCTACGAGGATGTGAACGCTTTTAACAAGTTGGAATCTTGTAATTACGGGAATTCCGATATGGCGTGAACGCACCTTAATGCTGCGTTCACGCCATGTCGTAATCAGTGGCGTGTCCACAAGGGTGGCACGGGGTGGCAACTGCCACCCTTAAAATGAGCTTTGCCACCCCAGTTGCCACCCCAAAGCAGAGTATGGGATCGAAGTGCATTGAGAGCGGAGCAGCACATTGGATTACTTTTTGATTACTTTTCTAAATTTAAAATATTTTATACTGTTAATCATTTTGAAACATTTAAAGCAGGCAGGGATAATAATCTTACAGTAGAACTCAACACTGATTATTGGCAGACTTTCAAAAGCCTGCATCACTTGAATTAGTATGGGATCGAAGTGCATTGAGAGCGGAGCAGCATGATTTTAACTGAAGCGGGGGTCTTTTGAAAGTCGGAGAATTCTGGTTTTCGCTCGCTCTCAGAGTGCTCCACTACCGCTCAATCACTAGCACAATTAATGCTGTAACTATAGCCGTTCTAAACTAGTTCTGCCTAGTCACCTTTATTTATATAGCGCTTTTAACAATACAGATTGTGTCAAAGCAACTTTACAGTATTAAATAGGAATCACAGCTATTTTGTAATTAAATTACGTAATTCCGTTACATGTAATTAGTTACTCCCCAACACTGGTGTTGAATATACAGAATATATGGGGAGTACAAACACTGATCTATAGTTGCCACCCCTCATTCTGCTCTTGCCCCCTCTTTGCCACCCCAAGTATAAAATCCTGGACACGCCCCTGGTCGTAATTACCATAATTTCGAGATGACAGCACGTGATGAGCTGTTTACGTCCTCAGACTCGGAATTATGCTTTTCTATAGGTGCGTTCACGCCATATCGGAATTCCCGTAATTACGAGATTCCAACTTGTAAAAAGCATTCACGTCCTCGTAGAACTCGAAATTACAACTTGTCTTTCTGAGAGCTACAACTTGTACCACGTGCATAATTCCGAGTCTGAGGACGTGAACAGCTCTGAGTAGAACGTCACGTGCTGTCATCTCGAAATTACGGTAATTACGATATGGCGTGAACGCAGCATATGTCAACACTATCAACGCCTAAACAGAGCCTGCGGTGGTCAGGTGGTACAGCGGTCACTTGGTACAAGTCGTAGCTAGTGATGGGTCGTTCTTGAATGATTTGTTCATTTTGAACAAATCTTTAATGTGACTCGGGACGAACAAGTCATCTCGGGGAGTGATTCGATCGTTCAGTCGCACATGCACAACATTCTATAGGTTCTGTGTTTCGAGTCGTTCGTTCATCACGTGACAGCCCCATAAGCTTAACCAATGCAGTCTGAGCCGGAAAGAGAATTGATTAGTTCATCTTTCGAGTCTTCGGATTTTTCGAGTCGTTCGTTGATCATGAGGTAGCCCCATAAGCTTAACCAATGCAAAAAAACAAAACAAAAACAAAAAAACAAGTATCTCTGCTTTATCAAAGTGATTTCACCATCATATGGACAAAATTTAAAGCATAACCAACTTTTTATTACCTTTATTACCACAGGAAAAGAACCATAATGACAGAAATTCACACATTTATAAACTGTAAGAAATACATTTTAAATACAATTTGAGACCAAAAACGCATCACGTAACTGTAGGAGTAAATAATAATAATAATAATAATGATGATAATAATAATAATAATAATAATAACAACAACTATGCACCCGTTTGTAAGGATTGGGAAGGTTGCTGTCACGTCACGTGACAAAAGAACGAATGACTCTAAAGACTCAAAAAATTAACTAATCAATTCTCTTTCCGGCTCAGACTGCATTGGTTTAGCTTATGGGGCTGTCGTGTGATGAACGAACAACTCAAACCCGAAGTCTTGTCAGATAAGGTGAGGTAAGCTAACATAGACTAAAGATCCAGTTAAACAATGAATTAATATTTTCTGCTTCTTATAGCATTAGTTTTGTCTTGTTTGTAGTGTGATCAACGTTTGCGTAAGTAGTAGATGTGTTAGGGAAGTAACACGTAACATTTTAATTACATTTTGCTAAAATGAACGAAATGACTTGAAAAAAGATTTGTTCATTTTGCTGAATGAGACTCAAAGATCTGAGTTGGCAAAATGATCCGAACTTCCCATCACTAGTCGTAGCTCTCAGAAAACTCCCAGTTCACAAGTTGTAATTACGAGTTCTATGAGGAAGGGAATGCTTTTTACAAGTTGGAATCTCGTAATTACGGGAATTCCGATATGGCGTGAACGCACCTTTCAGCATGGTTGGGCAACTCTGGCCCTTGAGATCCACTTTCCTGCAAATTTGAGCTCCAACCCTAATCAAATACACCTGAATAAGTTAATTGAGTTCTTCAGGATCACTATAAAGTTACAGACAGGTGAGGTTGATCAGGATTGGAGCTAAACTCTGCAGGAAAGTGGATGTTGAGGGTCAGAGGTTGCCCACCACTGGTCTGAAACCTTGACTGTGTTATGTCAAATAAAAACCTAACCTACCAAAACAAGTAACAAAGTTGCAAATTAAGCATGAACAAAACTGTCACTCATTAGGGACTCGCTAGCTGATATGATATGGGTCTGAGTTTACAAGCTGTTGCTACACCTCTGAAGGTCATATTTCCTTCCCAAGACTCAATACTTACTTTCCTATCAGTTGTAGGTGTCGTTTTTAGGTGATTGTTTGACAGTACTCACTATACGTGAATGATAAAAAAATATCTCTTCTTAATGTAAACACACTTCTGGGAAATGGAAACCGTTCTAAAATTTGAAACTGACAGGTTGGCTTTCCTGTCATATTCTGAAAATTACATTAAATCTGAATATATTCTCCTCTTTTAGTGTGCAGCAGTCTCCTCCTGAATGTGTCAAATCAAATCCTTCCAAACGACATCGAGACCGGCTGAATGGAGAGTTGGACAGGTTGGCCAGCCAGCTTCCTTTCCCGCAGGAAGTTATATCCAAGCTGGACAAGCTCACCATACTGAGGCTAAGTGTGAGCTACCTGCGGGTCAAAAGTCACTTCAATGGTAATGCATGATAAACAGAAGTTGCAGTTGTTTCGGTGTGGTATTGGTGTCCAATTTCTGACTGTACATAAATTTATGGATGCAATAGTCTCACTTAGTTGATGCAAATTTGAAAGATTATTGTGTTTTCTACAAAGTTCTATCATATTTTAGTAGCTTGTGGACTACAGTCATTTTAATGACAACATCCAAAGACAACACTTTTTCTCCCCTGTGACTGATTAAAATGAATAAATTGCGCATCATTTTAAGTAGTTAGAAAACCAGCCCCTAATTCTAAAGAACCTCAATATGTGCATGTTTGTTTCCTTATATGAGTGTCTGCCACATCTCGAGGCTGTTTACGGTATACTTCCCCCTCAGTGGGAAAGAAGGGGAGCCTTTTCACAGGATGCCACTGGGGTGCATGAGATCCTGCGGAAAGTAAAATATAAATGTGTTATCATCATATGCATTACTTTTAGGTGGAAGTCTGGTGAGAACTGCAAAAATAGCATTTTCTTTCAAAGAGCAAAAAATGCAATTTTGACAGGTAAATTTCACTTAATGATCACCCCGAGGCTGGTTCAGTAATACTGGAATATGTTGTTGAAATCATTATCATAAGAAGTTTACCTGGCTTTAGGCAACAGGCTTTTGCCCTCAACATTAAGATATGGAAGTAGGACAAAGCAGTGCATGCAAGCAGTTCCTCCTTTTGTTTGCGATAGATTGAGTGCTTATCACAGGACATCCCGGTCCCTCAGCAGTTTTATCTCGGGATGACCCATATTTGGATAACACAAGGAATATGCAAAATAAATTGCTTTGTAATGTTGTAATAATATAAAAATGTGGCCAGATGGTTCTTTGTTCTGTTGGGATGGATATGTTTTTTTTCTCCTGCAGCTGGCCAAAAGATTTAAAGTGTGTATGAATCACAAAATTCAAGGCACTGTTGGTACTTGAGAAGAGATTATATAGTGCTATAGAGTTACAGTTATAAACGTTCCAGCTATTTAAACCGGTATTGTTATAAGAAGATGAGGGGGAATCAGTCTTGCAATAACCTATTGGATAGTATTAAGAGTCAGGTCAAAATACACAAGAAACAAATAGCATCAGAAATCTTTTGCCAGCATATATTGAGTCTCTACACAAATACAAAACACACAAAATCCTGTCACATAAAATGTTCACTATAGATATGGTCAATGTCCAAAATAAAAGTGTGGTTGTACAAGTAGGAAATGTCCACCAAAGTTGTTGAGAGAAGAAACCATTTGGTAAAAGAGAACAGCCAATGTTTTAAAGTCTTATCTTTTGAAGGGTAGATTGATGAAATGATGAAATGACAAAATTAAATAGATGTCCTTGTTGGGGTAGGCCAGTAGTCCTTTGAAAAAAGTTATTGGGCAGTTGCAATACTGCACCCAAACTCCAAAGTTCTGCACTCCACGCGATAGCATATGTTTGCAGGTTAAACAAAATCCTCTACTAAAGAAAACAACTCATTAACTGTCAAACAAACTCACCAAACACACACAGCCCACAAAACATTTGAATAAGCGACTTTCCCCAAACAATAACCCTCTCAAATTCTACACAATAACAAAAGATGAAAAATAAAGCAACAAACTCATGGTTGAGCAGCAAAACAAATGTTTCTCAAACCAGGACCCTCTAGAGAAACAGCAGATGCCATGAGGTGACACAAACTGAATCTGCCTCTCATTCTACTACTTCCTCTTTTATTCAAAATGGGGATTTGCTATTGGTGTCCCCTAGTGGTCAGGATGAACAAAGCACTAAAATTAAATACATTAAACCATGTAACAAGATGTGACTGTTACATATCTCCCCCCTCATTTGGAAACATTATCAACAGTCCCATAGAAAGGCTTCAAATTTTGTACATGAAAGGTATCAACATGATCCGGATCATCTATAAATGACAGAGAACAATTAACAGGGCCAAGACATTTGACAATCCTAGCAGGACCTTTCCACTTCATGTGAATCCATCGCTAGCACGTGACAAAGGATGAGTGCGAACCCAAACCAAATCCCCAACTTTGTAATGAGCAGGCCTTCTCCGGAGGTCATAGTACTGTCTTTGCTTTGTCTGAGCTTGTTCCATGTTTCTTTGCACAGTTTTTATCAGCTCTTTCTGTCTTTCTAACACTGGGTATGCTGGACTGTCTGGGTCATGAGGTCTATGTATGGCTCTTTCTAGAGGGCCTTTCAATGTCCTACCTAGTGTGACTTTAGCTGGAGTAAATCCCATGCTTACCTGCCAAGCTGTATTTATGGCAAAACGAAACTCTGCCAAACATCTGTCCCAGTGCCGATGGTGGTCTTGAATGTAGGACGAGATCATGGTCTTAAGAGTATGGTTGACCCTTTCCGTGAGGTTAGTCTGGGGATGTGCTGTAGTAGTCAACTTCTGGATGACACTCCATTGCTTGCACACTAGACTGAGTAGCTGGGAAGTAAATTGGGTTCCTCGATCAGACACCAAATACATTGGAGTTCCCCACCTAGTAAAGATCTCCTCTATCAAAATGCGAGCAATTTGAGGTGCTTTAGCCATACGCAGCACCTATTTGGAACAGTAGTCTACGACAACAAGGAGGTGCTCATTTAATTTAGAACTCTTAGGCAATAATCCCATGAGGTCGATCCCTAGCATATGTCCAGGTTCTACCACTGGGGTTGACTGCATATGGCTGGCTAATTTGAAAATTTAAGGTTTGTGTTGTTGACAGACCTGACATTCTTTGCAATACTTCCAGATGTCCAGTTGTGTGGGCCAATAACAAATATCTACTAACCTCAGTAGAGTCTTGAGCCTACCAAGGTGCCCACTTAATGGGTTGTCATGTGCATATGCGAGGAAGTCTTTTTGTAGGCAAGCAGGAATGACTAGCTGTAATTTGGGTCCTTTCTGTCCATCAGGCATGCTACGGAAAAGAAAGCCATTTATTAACAAGTAATGGATACGTGTTGAATCGGGATCTGTGAGTGACCTGACTTTAACGGCGAGTTCCTGGACTTCTGGGTCATCCTGTTGTGCTCTAGCAATGTCAGACCATTCAGTCGGAAAACTGGAAAAAGAGGTGACTGAGTCTTGTCATTTGATATGGGCTATCTGAGGGAGCGAAGCAGTCTCTAAGAGACTGCGCAAAAGAGTGTCTGGCACGATGTTGCACTGACCTTTGCGATACTTGACACTGAAATCAAATTCTTGCAGTCGAATGGTCCATCGGGTCAGTCTGGAAGATGGCTTTGGGTGATTAAACACCCACGTGAGAGCCACATGATCAGTTATCACTTCAAATGGTCTGCCTTCTAAATAGGGTCTCCATTTCTCTACAGCCCATATGATGGCACAGCACTCCTTTTCTGAAACTTAATATAACCTTTCAGCCCCTGGCAGCAGGCGGGAAGCATATGCTATGACTAAGGGTGTGCGATATATATCGATTTTATCGATAACGATAATTAGACGATATTTTGCTGAGTGTGTTATTGTGCTGGTACCTTAAGGACTGCCGAAGACAGCTGACTCATAATGTTTTTAATATTCTTCATTGTTTAATGCAAGACATGAATGCATTTAACCTGCAATTACAAATGCATAAATAATGTTTTTGATATATTAAACATAAAACGTTGAATACTGATATTTGAAATGATTTAAAGAATGAAAAAAATCAAAAAAAGAAAAAAAAGAAAAGAAAGAAAAAGCTGAAATTTGAAATGAAAACCGCCAGCAGGTGGCAGCAAATCACTGTTAATAAGTGAGTCATTGCGATTGAACCGAAATAATTTCAAACATCAGTATTCAATGTTTTATGTTTAAAATATCAAAACACTATGCATTGGTAACTGCAGGTTAAAGCACTCCATGTCCCTTTAAGCTGAATTAAATAGTGTGTAAATACATCTAAATGCCACTTCAGATGCAACTTCTGCAAATATTCATTTTGTTGATACTGGTTTCATTTGTTTGGTAACAGCCTAAATGTCTTATTATTCTAATTGACTGATTAAATGTAACAATTTGACTCAAAAGATGCACACTTTTAGAAAAAATATTGCTTTATAAAAGGTAAAAATGCCCATGAAAGGTAAAACTCAATTTAAACGTATTGGAAAATATTAATTTCTATCACTGCTGTGAACTGACCACACAGAATATGAAGAATATCAAAAACT